CTTTGCAACAGGTTCCAAAACGTTCAGTCACCTCCGGTGTCAAATCTGGTTCTGAAAGGGTGCAATGACAAACAGTAGAGCTACTTATTGTAAGAATATTTTTTCTTGAAATAAATTAGGTCTTCAAAGATGTGTTAACATACTCTCAGTTCATTTTCACCAAGTGTTCACATACAACCTCCCTTCAAACTTTTAACTCTAGATCTCTTTGGGATCAGAAGATGTCAGGACCGTCTTGTCATAATTCATTTTCTGTTCGCTGTCAGTGCTGACCTGCATGCAAGAACACTGTTTTTGACCGATGCAGGGACACATCGTACAACCACATGGCCAGTTCTCTGCAGGCTTTGGGTAAATGTCTTCCTTTGATGGGATTTATGGTAGGCTTTGCATATTCTACACTTTATCGCTGTCACTTCAGTTACCAAGTCATCACATGGATTGTAATAAACAGCAGTTGTATTGCAAATTGTTTGGTAATTTCCACTTAGGAGATGGGAACTATTTGGATCTGGACAAAATCAGTTAGCATCAGGGCAATAAGCTAGTAATTTGGCTCAATGCCCACATATCCTGGTGTCCTTGAGCAAGACACCTGATCCCTAATTGCACCCCAGGCTCTTGCATTGCTGCCCACTGCTCCACCTGGGTATAGCTCACATGTGATGGGCTAAATGCAGACAACTAATTTTGCCATTGTATGCGAACATACGCCATACATTGTATGGCAGCACAATGGTTCAGTGGTTAGCACTGTTGCCTCACAGCAAGAAGGTCCTGGGTTCAATTGCTGTCAATTGCTGGTTGGACCTGGGGTCTTTCTGTGTGGAGTTTGTATGTTCTTCTCATGCTTGCATGGGTTTTCTCCAGGTGCTCCAGTTTCCTCCCACACACCAAAAACATGCATGTTAGTCTGCCTTCAGGCCCAGACCTCTGTTGCAAAAGAGATCTGTGATCATGATGGGGTTTGTCTGGTTGAATATAGGTTAATAAATAAAGCTAGTACTTTAACATGCATGGTTATAGGGTTGCTGTGAGTTTGTGCAAGAGGTGAGAGGCAGGTACACACACAACAGGTTGTCAGGCTATGGCAGCACCACAGACAAAACCATCCACAGTTACTTATAAATAATTTTTGGAGCTGCTAATTAACCTGACATGCATGTTTTTGTAAGAGTAAACTGAAGTACAAGGAGGAAACACATGCATGCATGGAAAAAAAAAAGAAGCCAAGAATCAAGCCTATGTTGTGGACCAACACCACTAAAGCTCCTCACAGAACTCGGGATGACATTCGCTGGGAATCTCCAAAATGACTTCAAATGCCCTAAGGGGTTCGCAATGTAATTGCTTGAGTCACAAAAGCTCGCAAACATGTTCTAAATGTTTGTGGGAGCCATCAAACCCATCTCAAACACTTACAGCTGTATTTTGAAACCTACACAGATGATCTATGATAGAAATCAGCCAAGGCTACAGCCCCGAATGTCCAAGTGTAAAACCACGCTAATGATAATGTTCATTTTTAGAATGGTTCAAATCTGTATCATTTCTAAAGTGTACCCGAGTGGAAAATAAGTTAATCACAAGCATGGCTGCCAAAATGAGTATAAAGCAGGGTGAGGCAAGAATGTATGCAGAGGTTGGCAACAACATGAGCATGGCATTGCAGTTTTGCTAGACCACGATTGTCAAAATATTCTATGATATTTAAAGGCTGCCCAGAGAAAACATGGCCGCATGGTTCGCTGGTCACTTTGTTTCAATCCGGTTTATCAATCAATCATAAAACAGGTTTCTCTTGTAAATGAGTCCTTGAGGCTCAGTGAGACTAACATGTATAAATAAAGCTTGAATTGAACTGAATTAACACTGAAACTGAAAATGTATCAGTTTTTTTTTTCCCCCAGTGTTGACTTGCCAACAAGTCTCTAAAAGTTGAAGCCTAGTGAGATAAGATTGCACAAACGCGAAGCCCCAAACCTTTAAGAAACATAAAAACATTAACATTTCAAAGTCACAGCAAATTCAACTTAAAGTTTAAAGCATGCCAATAATGATAATATAGTAGAAAGCACTCCCTTCAACTAATGGGACCTAAATTTCTTTGGCAGTAGCTTTGAAACTGTGAGCATGCTCCACAGATTTCTAACATGCTTTGAAGAAACCAATACCCAACAAAAACCATTAGCAACAACAGCAAAGCTCTAACAACTGCATGGTAAACTAAACTGAGATGAAAGAATGTGGTCAGGGCTGTAAAGCTAACCAATTCATCTCCGAATAAAATACAGATGTATTTTTTTTTTAATTGTATTATTATTTTTTTTAGATATTATGTCAACTGGAAAAAGAGCCAAACTAATGAGCTGGTAGCAGCTTTACTGCCACCCATCATAGCAGAATCTGACATACTTTGATCAGTGAATCAATTCTCCTCCTCTGCTTGTAGGCTGCACAAGAGCAATTAAGTGGCCCAGCCATCTGAAAACTAAAGCTCAACCTAACTGTGCAACAAAAAGGATGCGTCTGTACCACTTTTCAGCCAACTCATTAGGACCGTGGGGCAGCTGTGGCTGAGTGGTTAGGGCAGTCGCCCTCCAATGGGACAGTTAAAACCACTCATCGTCTCCAATGTGCGTCCCATCGGTGTATGAATGTGATAAAGCACTGATTAGTCTCTACAGATTCAGATTAGTTTGTAGAGACTTAGTAAGGTGCGGTGAATGGTTAAATGAGGGCACAGACTGTGTTGTAACGTGCTTTGAGTGTCTTGATTAGATAGAAAGTCCATTTACCGTTTATATTTACTTTAACTGGTCGTAGTAGAAACAAGAAAAAAACAATGATGTGCTTCCAAAACAAAGTTATTGCTTATTTTAATATTTTTCTTCCTGTGTTATTTTTTTTGTAAATTAAAAAAAAAAAAAAGTTAATTTCAACAAGTAAATCAAAAAGCCACAACATCACAGGGATAAGCTCCCATCAATGCAACCATCTTGACCTGGAGGTCCACGTTAACTTCTGCTACTTCTTAAACATAGGATGCGTGTGCTCGGCGGCCCTGCAATCCAGTTCAGCCTCCAACAGAAGCTGACGAATCACAAAGACCAAAATTAAGCAACAACCACCAAACATGAGCTGCAAAAAGTAAAAAAAAAAAAAAACGAGCATCTTTTGTTTGAAACAGCTGAAAAGTGCGTTTGAACAGGTGGGTGCTCGAACAAAAATCTGTATATGGAGGAAAGAAATCCTGTCAACTTCACACATTACGTTTATCTCAGAGACAAAAGGCATCCCATAACCAAGTCTGCCTCTGCACTCAGAGCACAATAAAGATCCACTTAGTGTCAGAGTCACTTATAAATCCTCTGTTCTGCCTCAGCGCGGCATTCAGTGACCGTTGTGCAAGTCATCTCAAAATATGTAAACCAAGCAGAACAAAAACTGAAACCAGTGCGCTTCTTTCGCTGGTTCGGTTCCGCAAAACAAAATCTGAGGTGATGATGCTCCAGCAAGAAACACCTGACAGCATATGGGTTGGTCCTCACACCGAAATCCCCTGAACGACATCCCTAACTGAATGGAAAGGTGTCACTTGACCTGCAGACATGAGCGGATAATGAAGCACAATGCTATCGATGCGGTTATATTATTATTAAAAATATAATTTTGTTTTGTTTTTGTTTTGTTTTCTGGTGCACTACATGCCATTCATAAGGATCTATTCATTCCAAACGATTCTTGATCCACATGTTTGTGTTTGATATAAATGTGCACGCACTGTTCTCAGAATATGCACTTAAAGCCTCCTCAAGGCGTGTTGGATAAAAGCCTGCACTGAAATGCATATGAGTGTGTCAGGAAGTGGGTGGGAAGGCAAGTGTGTATTAGGACAGGATGTGTACCATTATCGGTCATTACTGTACGCGCGAATCACCACCATCATCGACAGCAGCAACAAAATGATCCTCCCAGCACAATACGAGGGTGATTATCTGAGGGTGTATCTGAAACACACATATATGATCAATTACCAGAGTAAATCACCGGAAAATTGAGCTAATACGTTTAAACAAATGAGCTCGTTCATCACTGCAATTGTAAATTATTGACAATTATTATTATTTTAAAGAAATACTGGTTGGAGAGCAAAAAAAAAAAAATAAAAAACAGTAGACGGACAATAATCTTCCATAATTTATGGCAAACTTATGTATTCCTTCACTTAAGACCCATTTATAGACACAACTATGTGTTTTTGTCATCATTTCTGTGCAGCAGTGAGTTTAACATCCAATGTTTCTCATAGTATAGATCAAATATAACGAGGTGCTTCTTTAAATGTGCATAACAATGAGAGCTGGCTCTGTATTGATGTCTGGGTGTTATGAGCTGTAATATCAATCCTGCTGCTGGCCGTGATCAGCTCGGAGCTATTTTAAGGGCTCAGACTTGGACAGGCAACAGGGGACATATGACGGGAGGCGCTGAGCTCTGCAGCTCCACTGTTTTTGGGCTCAGAGGAGAAAAAAAAAAACACGTTTACAGCTCTGCGTCTGCATGAGAGTGGCGTGGATGAAACATCTGGCGTGCAATTAAACCATACAATCCAGATGCTTTATAGTGCCTTTTGTGCCATAAAGTTTATGCTCAATCCGAGCTATAATGCATGAAACATCCAGGTGATGTGGAAGTTTCAAATCTCTGCACAGCGTCTGCTGGCGCGCGCTGCATCCTCTCCAAACATAATAGAAATAACCCTGGTAGCAGCTGGATGCCTTCCTGTCACACAACACTAAAAACCAAAAGCAGCTCCAAAGCTTCAGCGAGCGCTCCACAGCACCAGAACCGAACCTCTGCACGAAGCCACAAGAAGTCCGCGCAACAAGGAGCTCTCCTCAACTTGCCATTTACTCCTGCAGGACCCGAGTTCTCGTGCGCATGCATCACCGCAGAGCCTGCAGCTCAGCCTCAGAGAGAGAAAGGGGAACCCTCACCCGAGCAGTTCCAGCCGGTCGGTGTCTGGCAGTCGCTGAGGGAGGACGGGAAGGCGCGCAGCTGCTCCACAGGTAAAGAGGCGAGGAACGAGACGAGGGTGATCCTGAGCCAGCCTCCCGCCGTCCCGCCCCAGCGGCGCTCCTCGAGCGGCGCCCGCGCAGCCACGGACCCGCGCATCTCCGCTCAGTGGCCGCGACCGCACAGGCGACGTGGGGAAGAGACGCGCACCGACAGCTCCAGCGATCCCGGCAGGCTCAGCGGGGCGCGTGAACGCCGACAGCAGAACATGTTCCGAGCGAGACCGTGCGCCCCATGGAGCAGCGCGCCCCGGGTGGAGTGGCCAAACGGGGGTTCCGAGAGATCCGAGGCTGAGGGGCTGCGCGATGGAGGAGGGGGGTGAAAGGATGGAGTAGGGTGGGAAAAAGTTAAGAGCAGGGGAGGATGCTGAACTATGAAGAGAGGAGGAAAGATGGAAGGATAAACAAAATAAGGATGGAGTAAAAAGTGTAAAAGTGGCAGGATGTGGCCAGTATCCCACAGGCAGCGCGTGACGACCAGTCGTGAAATAATATCCTCGGGTGCGACGAGCCGCGGTCCTCCCGTTCACTTTGTGCGTGTGGTGCGTTCAGAGTCGCAGCCACTCGGTGTTTCTGTCTCCCTCTCTCACCAGCAGCTGGTCATGATCACGTGGGGGTATGATGCACGAAGGGAGGGGGTGGATGGTGGGGGCGCCCCTCGGTGACAATTAAATATCTTACCGGATGGAGAGCTGCACTACAGGCTAAAGGAAATAAAAATAAAATAAAAGCTGTTGAGAGGAGCCATAAAAGACACTCCGTGAGCTCCGGGCTCAGTCCCACCGGTGGGTAATGGTTAAACCCCCCCCCCCCACAGATGGGTAACACAAGGGATGAAACGCGCCCTTTAAGGCTAATTGGCCAGCAGCATAAAAACAGTCTGCACAAACTGATTGTCCACAAACTGCTCTGAGCAGGGTGCCATGAGCTTCCTGCAAAGGAGGCAAACTTTACTGTTGCAGGAAAGATTTTCTTTTGAAAGTATTCAGGTCGTCTATAAATTACACATATTACATGAAATAATTAACAAGTGCAACCTCTTCAGTTGTTCTTATCAAACACTCTAATAGATTGTAATTCTCCAACCTTTTATTCCCACAACCTTTGCAATGCATTTGAGATTGAACAATCCTGCAAATAATCAAATAATACACTGTGTTTAATTAAAAGGACTAAAGACCAGCAAATACTATTTTATTTTTAAAAAATCACATATATTTTCCAAGTAAAAGCATCCTAACATGTGTCAATCAGATGGGTTTTGTATATTCAGGTACATTTGTTATTTCCACTGAGTGTGGACCTGGACATTATCAACATTGTAAAAATAATTTAGAATTTGAACTAAAATAACTGAATGAAAACAATCATCCAGCTTTTGTCTGCATGAAATGGATACACTCCTCTGTCACCTGCCGATCCAAAGTAGAGCACCAGTTCCTGCAGCCACTTTAATGGTTGGGAGGTCTTGAAACCATTTATGAAATTTTCAGGTCTGGGTGGCAGATGCCATTTAGAAATCCACAGAGAGTTGGAGTCACCGAGGTTTATTGGCATTTCAGCTACATACAAGTACCATAATTTTCGGTGTATTAGCCGCACATTTTTTCACACGCTCTGGACACCATGGCTTATACATTACCGCGGCTAACTTATGTTTGTTTTTTGTTTTTTTGTAATTACAGTATTTTTTTTTTCATGAGCTAATGAGCTTCCTGCCGCCAAAAAAATTTAGCGGTAGCTTTGTCAGCACTGTTCTCTCCAGTGATTATCTGTAGTCTGTTTTTCTTAGACTAGTTTTTGTGTTCATTCAGTAGGTTGTACGTTAGGGTAGCCATGAGTCAGAAAGGCCTGTGAGGATCAGCAGTTTGTGTGTGTTGAAAGCAAACTAAAATCTATGAAACGCCATCTGGTGGTTGATTCTTGTACTGCAACAAGAGCTGAACATTCTATCAGAAGCTGTGCACAGTTTCCAAAATTAAAATGTGTACACCTGCAGCTTATCCACAAACGTGGCTTATTTATGTACAAAATTGCATTTTATTTTAAATTTAGCGTGCACGGCTTATAGTCAGGTGCGCTCTATAGACCGTACATTATGGTACAATTTGAAATTAAACCGTGTTCCTCCAGGATAACGGTGCAACACAGAACATAAAGTGCAAAAACAAAACAACACACAGTGCAGATACAACAGTACAATAAATACTAACAGACCTATAATAAATGCAAAAATATATTTAACCTAATCGGAATATTTCAATCTAAAAAAGAACTTAAGAGACAGGACTAGAAACACGTGTTGATTAGTGCATGTGTAAATGGTACATGCTCTGATATGTGTTGGTTAGCAGCGTAAAGTTTTTTTCTATTTTTATAGCAGCAGAGATATAAAATGTGTAAGGTACAAAAGTGTACAAACACAGTACAACACAGTAGAATGTGTATTTAGGTCGTGTGTGTGTCAGTCAGTGGTGGAGAAAGTACTCAAACACTGTTCTTAAGTAAAAGTACAAATAAACAGACACAAATGTACTTTAATAAAAGTAGAACTGCTACATTAACACTTTTACTTAAGTAAAAGTAAATAAGTACTTGCTTTTAAAAATACTTAAAGTATTAATAGTAAAAATCCTTGCTGAATGTATGACCTAATGCAATGGTCTACAATATCATCGTATGCCTACGTATATATATATATTTTTTTTTTCTGCAATATATTAATAGTGTTGAGTGATTTTAATGAACATTGCTGCAGATAATACATGTTTTTATTGTGTTTACTCTGTGACACAGTTCACACTTGGACTTGTGATTCTGTGCGTCAGAGTTTCAGGGATGGCATGAAAGCAAGAAGAATGAGAAAGAGGAATGATTACACCTTTGAAAGTTTTTATTTAACACAAAGTAAAACCAATGTGTCATTTTAACTGCAGTAAACACATTGAAGTAAAAGCTGTCTGCCTGAAAAAAGGAACATCTGATCATTTCAACTCCAGTTTGTCATCAGCTCTATTTAAAATACTGTCCATCAACCTTGTCATGGGTCAATAGTGAACAATATTTTAACTTCCTGACACCATTTTCAAAACTTGGACCTGAGTGTCGAGTCATTTGGAGACGTCTCTCGTCTCCTAACATCCATGAACTGACACATTTTAATATTGCAGCAAAAAATTCTTGTTCAAGTTCAGACGACGTTGGTTTTCAAAGTTTTTTGAGTCCAGTCTGGTTCTTCTGGGAGAGATGATCTGTCCTATTGTACTGAATAGTTTTTCAATAATCTTTCAATAATCTTTCAATAAGGCCATGGGTGGTGTGCATCTTCTGGCTGACCCTCTACAATGGAATCCATATTGGGTGTTAGTGGTGCTGTGGGTGCGCCCAGCTCAATAACATATATACTAGAATACACGTCATTGGCCCAGCTCTTCTTGAAGGTGGGTTTAATGTTCCCCACTTTGCAGTGATTCAGTGGACCAGCTCCCCTCTTGCCATTGGTTACTTTCAAACTAAAGAACAAATAAAAAAACTGCAACTTGAATGTAACTTGGAACGCAATTCATTATAGAAATGTAGTGTAGTAGAAAGTACAGATACTTGATGTAAAATGTAGTGGAGTAAAAGTCAAAAGTACCCACATTGAACTTTAAGTACAGACACATGAAAATGTTACATCCCACCACTGGTCAGCGTCCATCATGTGTTTGTGTGCATCAGTAAGACTGTGGGTCATTTCTAAATAAGCGAGTTAAGGCAGAGATTAAAGTTCTGGAGCTGTTCAACATCATTTAAAATAAACTAAACCTAACTAAGCTAAAAAAAAGTGGCGACTAAAGTTTCATTTTTTTTAAATTATCTTCCCCCAGTGTCAGCTGCTACTTCACGCTACCACCTTGAGCCACCACTGCCTCCTTGATCTCAACTTTTGAGACATTAAAAACACACACACGCCCATTTTTCTTTTTTTTCTTTTTTTTATTCGTTTCCTTTTTCTTAGAATGAATGCTGCTGTCACATGGAGGAGGGTGTGACTCGAGGCTCTTCCGGCCTCAGAAACGGTTTCAGCATCCGCATGAGTAAAGAGGTCAGCAGGTTGCAAACACTCACCCTTTGAATCAAGGAAATTGGAAGCCATGCGCATGAAAAAACTCCCTTTGGTGGAAACAAAGGACTTGTTGTTGAAGCCTGTCCCGGCCTTAAAGGGACCTGACATCATGAGATTATGGAAGAGAAGCTGCTGTTGCATGTAAACAAATAAGCTTTTAATTACTTGTCATTTAAACAGTATTCTCTGAACAAACAGGGTTCATCGTGACACAGTACGTCTGCACCTGCAAACCTATTGATACTGAAAGGTTTGTGAATGTTCCTAGTATATATATGAATTTACTAATTTTAGAGGTTGTGTGTAAAAGTCTTTACAATGACACCAAACTGATGTCCATGTTGTTCTTTTAAGTGAATGCTGGAACGTTGTTTAAAAATAAGTGAAAATGCAATTCAACAAATATCACTCAGGTCCTCTGGATGGTTTCTTTTTTGTCAAAACGTTTCATCTTCCATCCGAAGGACTTCATCAGTCCGAGGAGCCGCAGCAAACTCAGTCCCATACGTAGCACACTCACATAGTAGGCCAACGAGTTTGATGGATGCTCAGTGAGACTAACCTGTATAAATAAAAGGTTGAATGAATGACTGGATGGTGCCAAGATGGTTTCTGGAGTGTTTCCTCTCTCCCGTCGACTCGTCTGAGGCAACCATAGTTAAAGTGGTTCAAAACATCAAAGTTCATGCTCAATAATCCAGGTAAAAAAAAATAAAAAATCCAACAAAGTTAAGTCAGGTACATTGGATGTTTTTTATTTATTTATTGTATTTTTTGTTGAAATGTTTTGTCTTTCATCCAAAGGACTTTATCAGTCCGAGGAGCCACAACAAACTCAGTCTTATACGTAGCACACTCACATAGTGGGCCAACCAGTTTGATGGTGATAAGATGGTTTCTGGAGTGTTTCCTCTCTCCCGTCGACTCGTCTGAGGCAACCATAGTTAAAGTGGTTCAAAACATCAAAGTTCATGCTCAATAATCCAGATAAAAAATAAAAAAAATCCAACA